GTAAAAAAATCAGAACAAATGTTCTCAGCATGTAATTAGGACATGCATATCATGAACATTGTTCTTGTGACTGCTTTTGTAATTTTTACATAGTTATTTCAGAAAGGTTAAAAATTATGCATGCAGTCTTTATTATATTACACACATAATTTGGAAAAAAAAAATGCCTTTCTCTGCACTAAAAATAATAAATTAAAGAAATAGATTCGTTGTGTTGAGAAAAATTTATTTCTTGAGCCTCAAATAATTTAATTCCTTTTTATTCTATGCAAAAAGTAATTTTCTCCTAGGGGAAAATTATTGCTTAACTACTGTTATGTATTCTATGGCAGTCTTAGCCACTTAGCCACAGATAGTTCTAAAAGGGAAGTAGAGAAAGCTGATTGAAGTGAAACCTTCAAACTAAATATGAAAAATAGAAGATTTAAGGCTTTATATGTTTCTTTCATAAAGAATTCCTGATGTTCCTGACATTAGAAAGCCATTTAAAATAAAACTACAGTGATTTTATCATTGTCCACTGCGATCCTTTGGATGTTTATCCTTATGAGCACCTTGCTCTTTTCCAGGGTGAGGCATACTCAGAAGGTGGGGGAGTTGGGAAGTGGTTCTGGGCAGGAATGAGGAAATCCTTAAAATATTTTTGCTCATTATTTATTGTGTTTTTACTATTGCAAGATTTCATTAATAAGTGGGAATGCAGAGGAGGCTACTAAACTCATTTCAAGTAGAAAAAGTTCTTCTGGCTGTCCTTGTTGCTGTGTTTGGATACCAGCATTAGCAGTCATTACAAGCTTATGCTAACCACCCACTCGTGCAGCTGAGATTGTTACTAAAAGCTGGCCACAAAGATGGCACTTAGGCAGACCACTAAGTATCCTGCCTGCCAGTTACACTTACAGGAATGTGAAAGGTAGCTGTAACTTTCCAAGTCATTAACCACCAGGCTGACTGCATTTCCACTAGGTTCTGAGTTGAAATTGTGCCGTGTGTATTTGCATAGAACCTACGGATCGTTGCTGAAATGCTTTAACTGATTCAGTGCAGATTATCAGTCTCTCCCTCACTCTGCATCAGCATGTAGGAGATGAGATTTATTGCCATCTGTGCAGGTTATCTGAGAATGTGGTTACCTGAGAAACCGTTCTCAAGGATCAGTGTTCAATGTGGGCTTTCTAAGATACAAACAATGCATATGTGTGATATTGATGGGTCTTTAAGAGCTATATATTTGACCAGTTTATTTGCTACAGAACTCTGACTATCCAAGCTAGAATACTAGGTAAAGACAAGGAAAATGGACTGAGGTCTTTGTATATTAATACACAGAATATATGGAATATATCCAGCATAGCAAAGTAGGACACTACGTGGATGCATGATATAAAATAATACTAATTGTACAACACAAAAACAGTGGAATAGTAGCTCTAGAATACAGATAAACAGGATATGCTACTCAAAGAAGATAGAAATTTAAAAAATAATAATACAAAATAAAGGTGAGATAGAAGCATTATAGATTTATCAGCCCTACACACTGCCGTGACATGAAGAGACAGCTAAGATATTTTTAAGATTATTGTATTCTGTTTGGACTTGGAACTTTTAGGATTTCCTTCCGTGAAAAACTGTAATATTTTAATCCTTGAATGATGCATTAACTTGCAACAGCAACTTATGTTGACTGTTACAGCATAGCTACTGTTACTGTATGGATCATTCTTGCTTGAGATGGGAATAAGATGGACTTTATAGTCCAAGTTTTCCACCTCTATATTAAAAAACAATAATAAATTCATTTTTAAAGACAAGCAGTATACCACTTCCAAAAGTGAACTCTTCAGGCTGCCTGAATACACAGGCTTCATCCTGGCATGAAATCATAATGTGCATTATGACATTATACTTTGTTGTCATGGAAGCAGTTGCAGTGACATTCTCAATTCTGATGTGAATCTTAACAAGTCTTTTACCGGTCATCAGGTTTCAATTTGAGGGGTAGGTTCTTACTTGTGTTATGCATTCCCCTTCACAGATCCTGTCAGTCATTGATTACCAGTTTGCATGTCTGATAATAACCAGCAATCCCACTAACCTTCACAGCTTTACAACCTTTCTATTCTTATTACGACACTCAAGTGATTAGAAAAGTCACTTACAAAGTTTCTGGCTGTAACACAGGACAACACCAGTATTTTGTGCCCAGGCATATTTCAGGAAATAATCTGGTGTGTTCAGCTGTAGAGAGACTGTGAAGAGTCCTTGAGTTTGTGGGAAATGGACGAGACTGCTTTACACTGATGGTATTTAAAAAATGATGGTGTGGCACACATAACAAAAATCAGGTTTGCTTCCTGTGGTAGGGACTACTGAAATTGTCTTCTCCTCATTGTCCTGGTTTCATTGCAGAGCTATGGCTGCACCTTTGCAATACAAAAGCTGATGATATGCTACTCTACTTCCAGGGCTCAAGGCAGATTTGTAGTTTATTCTTGGTTTGATTGTAAGGTGAAATCTACCAGGAAAGACAATCCTTCAAAAAAATGTATTTCTGCTTCTCCAAACTTTTCTCCTCATTATGCAAGAATTGATTTTGAATTTCACATGGCTGTATGACTGCGGCTGGGGAATGGGAATTCACTGTCCTTCCCCCATGGTTGTTAAATGATTCTGCTCAGAAGAATACCACGAAAGCTCTCATGTTCACACAGGTTATTAGTGTTACTTGGATGTGTGTGCATACAAAGCTTTGGCTGTGTCTTACTGACTGCCCTAGCTAACCTCATCCTGTCAGTCCATTCCCAGCACTAAAAAAGAGCTGCTCTTGGCAGATGGTAGAGGAACCTGGCTGTGAGAATGTGCTCTACACCTGGTCCCCTGCTGATCTTCTAAACTGATATGAATTCTGCTTAAATATTTCATGGGAAACCGGGAAGGATTTTTCTCTAAGTTTACTTTATTGTTTAATCCAGAAAGCTGTAGACGTAAGAGTTTTTAGTATTTAAATGTGCAGCCAGAGTAGTTATTATAATACTAGGTACATGCATTACTTCATTAAAACTGGTTTAGATGGCTAGGTCAGTTCAGCTGTAGAGACTGTGTTTAACAGCCTGAATCCCACTGAAGTCCTGAAAGCCTGTATCTGTCAGCAGACAGGATTACAGCAGGAAGTGATTGGTACACCTTAGGCTGGGTGAATGTAAGCTGTTTAATTACAGAGCTGCTTTGTTCATGCTTTATTGTGATCTTGGTGGTGCTGTGGTTGTATGTTTCACTAAGCAGTCCTGCTGATTCTAGGAGTAATTTTTTATATTTCCTGATTTTTGATTCTCAAAATAAAGGGTTAGTTACTACTTTGAGTGGTTTGCTTGGTTTTAGTTTAAGTAAATGTAACAATTTTGCATATTGAATGAAATACATGAATAGTAAATGGAAAGAGACTTTTATAGTGCTATTGGGTAAGGGCAGTCTTAGCTGTTACTGATAAGAACAGTTCAGCATGGCACTTAAGTATATGTTCTTCTCCATGCAATAGGTACTGCACATACTTTCCATTCGTTTAAATCCTGATTTCACAGATGAATTTATGTATAATGCCATGTGAAAGCAGAAGACTAGGCCAAGTCTAAGCTACAAATTTCAGCAGACATAAAAAGGTAAATTAGGGAATGCACTGGTAATAAGTACCACCAAATGCACACTTACACTAGCAAAATTAGTTACATTCTATTCCATTACAGAAGGGACGCTTCTACTTTATGGTACTGAGCATGGCTTATCCAAGGGTAATTGTTCCAAGTGTCTCGCCAAGATGATATACTCTAATTTCTGCACTACCTAATAGCCAAACTGTAGTTTCTCTGCTGTCATGGTCCTGCTGAAGACTTCAAAAATTGGGTTCATTTGTGCCTAGTCCTGCTTCTGATGATCTGTAAAAAATGGAATTTTATCTACTTGTGCAGTGATCTTTTCACACCCCATGCGCTACCTGTTCTTGACACTCATATTATGGAGAGACTGTTGTACAATCTCTTTACTATTGACGAATTTTCTCCCTCTGAGAACAAGCAATGAGTCTTTAGTTTCAGTAGAGAACACACTTCCTATGAAGCTACAAGCTGCTGAATATTGGAGTACAATATATAATACTGTTTCTGTAACCAGCTGATGTTGTTAGCTCCAGCTTATGATAACTCACAAGCATCATGGTTGCAGCTAATTGTAGGGAGTGTAACCTCGTACAAAGTACTTGCTGATGCAAAAATTACACTTATAGCCCTGAGGGAATGTATATTGGTATTGTCATCTCTCTTGACTCCAAAAGCATTCACCACCCGTTCTCTCATTTTTCTAGCTGAGTACTTATACTGTTTGTTCCTTATGAGGAACATGTTTTGCTTCCCTTTCAGATCAGAAGAATAGTTTTTGTGCATAATTATGTCCATTGTTTTTTTTCTTTCTAGAGAAATCAGTTTGTCAAATGAAAAATATTATTTCTTTCTAGAAATCTTTCTGCATTAAAGCCATCATACCTACAACTAAGATTACTTTAGTGCAGGGATGCAGTCACAATGCTTTATTGAAATTCTACCTTACACTTAGGAAATGTAAGTTTCTTTTTCCATTTCAGAGCAACCCAATAATTACATTGATATTACTCGTAAGATTGTTAAGTTTAGCATTAACAGATAATGATACAGAAAGAAATGCTGCACTGAGTTTTGACTATACATCTTTCTTGTTTTAATTGACAACTTACCAAAGTGTTACAAGCATTTCATGCTTTCCTGCTCCTGGAAATTCAAACTAAAGAAGTTATCCTTACTAAAGCATTTTGCATCTTTTTCTTATTTTTTTTAAATGTACACAAAATGGAGTTTGATTCTGGTAGAAATGCTATAATAACCTGAAAATTGTAGTTCAACAACTGCACATTAAGTTCACATGACATTCTAAATACATACAATTATTTTGTGTGAGAATTGCTGTTAAAATGGTATGCAGAGTGCAGCTATGTTTTCCATAGTTAGCAATTGTATCAAAAGTCACTCAATACTCATGCTGTTATCTCATAATATTACATTATTGGAGGAATTGCTTGAATATACTATCATGAAGTCATTTCAGTCACAAAAGTGGCTACTGTTCAAGTGATGAACAATGCCAATACAATTGGTAACTAATCAAATGTAGTCATGCTATTTAAGGGAAGACTATTTTTCCTAGAACAGCAGAATCTGGACATGTGAAATCTATGATGTATCAAGTTGGTAGTAAGAGTGGCAATATTTTAATACTTGTTCGTAGAATATAAATGCATTGCATCTACTTTTAAGTATAAAAGCAGATAAAAAGTACCCTTGAGAGGTAATGAAGCAAGTGCTGGGGCAGAATAAATATGCTTTGGAAAGGGTAGAGCGTATGCTTCCCCCTTTCTGGTTCTCCCATTTGTCTTTCTGTAATGTGTTGGTGGAGGAGCAGAAGAAAGTGATAAAGTTGATGTTCTTGTGATTAGTGTGGTCTGGACAAGTCATCAGGGAATGTTTAAACCACTGAATTATTAAAATATTATTCTGCCCACAACCATGTATTCAGATGCTCAAAACGTGATTTCTAATGTTTTGTTCCTATCATTGAGTTATGTTTGTTTCTGCCAGCAGGAGTCTCTAATGTACGCAGCGCCTTTTCTGAAGTTGACAGCAACATCATGATTATGTTTATTACCATCTCTCTATGACAATAACCAGGTGATCCTTATAACATGAAGAAGGTTTTTCTTCTTTGCCTTCTTTGGAATCTTCTCAAACACGGTCCTTTTATAATAGTAAAAGTAGCATTAGTGCACAAGTAGCTTGTCACAGCTTCACGAGGTCTTTGGGAAGGTCAGTAGTCTGAGGCTGAAAAGGAGTTCTCTCTTCCTCTCACAACTTCCTTCTTGATAATTGAGTATCACAGCTAATTTTCATTGATTTTTCCTTGTGTAAGAAAACTTTCTGGTCTTAGATTCACTATGAAAGTATCTTGTGGTCACACCTAAAGCATCCTCTGGCTGTTCTCCCTAGCTGTGAATCCATGAGGAAGAAAAATACAAATATGGTCAGAAGACACAAAAGAGGAGGGCCTCCATTAAAGTGGGTGATGTTGTAAAAGAGGATGAGCTAGAAGGAATACAAAGCTCTTGGATTAATGTTTTAATATTTTGAAAGCTTATTCTACATGGTTTATTGGAATACTCACTCTTTAGTAGCAAACAATGAAACCATATGTCTGATGGATTATTGTTGTCAGTATACTCATCCGTCAGGTGTACGTATTCAGCCATCCTAATCTGCATATTCACTTCCTTTGTCTTCCTTTGTCAAGGAAACACAAATGCATTGTTCAATTCTCTGACATATTACTCAGGTATAATTATCAGTAACATAAATGATGGTAGTGACTAGCTCTTCTTGAAATAATTTGACTGTTATGATAAGATTTCGAACTCTTTGGACTTCTCATTTACTTGTTCATACATAATCATGTAAATAGTTTATTGTTAGCGACTCACAACAGACTTCTGTGTCACAACGGTTTCTTCAGCATCAGCAAAATTTGTATTACGTGTAAATTAAGTCTAAAAATTTATTTCAATTTTTTAAATCTGATCATCTGCTCAAACCAGCATAGAGAACCTGGACCATTTTTGTGGCCCTCCTCTGGACATGCTCCACCAGGACATGCTCTCCTGTACTGTTCCTGTACTGTTCATCTCTGCGTTGCTGTTTGAATTCTGTTGCTTTGGGGGAAAAAAATCATATCTAAAATCAAAATGAAGCTTGAAAAAATGAAATCCAAATGGCTTTTGGTGGAAAGTTTTTTAGAACTGGTGCTTCAAGTAGGATCTGAAATCTGAACATTTCCAAATAATAGAGAAAATACACATATAGTTAGACTAAAGTATTGTACATCTTATAAACGCACTGTAATATATTTACTCAATTTGTCCTAGTTCTAGTACCTTAAATATTGCTGCTGCTGCTGCCTCTTCATCTGTATCATCAAAAAAAGGTTGAATACAGTTTAAAAGGAAACTATTTGTCGCTGAATTAAATAAGCTGAGGTCTATGAACTCAAAATCCAAAACGTTGTTAAATTATTTACAGTAATACAATGAGAAGGATGATGTTAATAACTCTAATCACTCTACCAAGATCTGTGCAGTGCAAGCCTATAAAAAACAGCTGAAATAGAGAAAACAAAAAATTTTTCTTGAATGTGGGACCATTTGTTTTTCAGTTCTAAGTGAGAAGATATGGATTTGCAGGCTTGCTTGGTCAAATCACCTTTAGATCTGATAAAATGCTGATAGCAAACAAGCTAAAACAACAAACAAACCAAAACAAAACAAAAGACAGAAGAAATGGGGGCATTACCCTGATTTGCTGGTAATGAATGAATGAATTAGCTGGAGGAAAGTCAGTGCTTTGACATGAATGAACCAGTATGGTTTAAATGCAGAGTGTCGTGTCTGTGATTTGGATCTTTCTCAATGGCCAGTGAATGACATTACCCAAAAAATCACTGTGCTGTGGGGAAGATGTCACAAGAGACAGTTCGTACATTTCAGGAAGCATCACTCTCTCTAGACTTTTCATGGTGTTTCAGTAGTAATGCATTTTCTGTGCACTTATTTGTTTTCCTGTGTCCAGTATTACATCTGGTGTTTACAAGGAGAACTAATAAAATGCATATAATGGCATACTTTAAAACAAATAGAACTTTCAAACAGGATCCATTCAATGAAATGATACCTTTCAATACCAAGATTTATTTTAGGCATTGAACGAGGCAATAAATGTCTTGTGGAAAGTCTGGAATTGTGTTAAAGATAGTAGGTTTTTCTAACATGGATAAATTGAAGTGTTGAATGGCACTGCAATGATTGATTATAGGGAACAGTAACAAATGTATGTTAAAATGCACAGTGCCTAAAATCTGATGGAATGTTAACTTTGTTTATAGTTGGACCAAATACATTAATAACATTTCACTTAAGCAATCACTAGCCATTTCTGCTGGACCTCTCTTGAAGATTTAAATGCTCCTAATTTTCTAGAAAGAAATCAGGGATTTGAATGACAACAGTAGAAGTAAAATGATTTCAGCTCACAACTAGTAGGATTATCACAGTTTAAAACTATTTGGATATACTTTATTCATTTCTGTTTACATGCTGTAGTGGAAATGCTAAGTCATGTCCTGAAGCAGTGATTGAGCACCTGGTGGGATGGCAGGGCCAACCCAGAGGAGCTCAGGTGCATGCAATGCAGCTGGGTGACCAAAAGGGATGGAGCCAGGATCCACACCTTCCCAGACCTTCTTGAAGGGTTGGCTGTGGAGGCAAGGATATCTTGCTAGAGATCCCTGCATACCTGAGGGCTTCTGAAGGTAAACAGATTGTTTTCCTTTGTTTCTGTATCCACAGCTGGTGTATTTCAGCATATTCTCTCCTGTTGTAGCCTGGGACTTTGCTACTCCACTATCATTGCTGCCCTTTTCATTATTTCAAAACATTACACATGTTGAAGACTAAGAGTGGGCTGGACTTGAATAAGGCAATCGAAGAACTATTACTGTTTTTTTTAACAAGTACATTTCTATAATGCCATTATTTTCAGGACTTAGATGTATTTAGTTTAGAATTCTCCTCTCTTTTCCTCCATTTTATGACTGCATAAAGGCAGTGTGTTGCAGCTTACCACCAGTAATTTGAGGTGATGCATTGCGTGTTGCTGTGATGCAACCCAGCAGATGGCTTGCCCCTTTTTTTCTCAGGATGGGATGGGGTTGGAAATCAGAAAGGTAAAACTGGAAAAACTCATGGGTTAAGATAAAGGCTGCTTAGAGGGTAAAACAAAAGCCATATGCGCAAGCAAAGCTGAACAAGGAATTTCATTTGCTGCTTCCCATCAGAGGCTGGTGTTCAGCTCCTCCCAGGAGAGCAGGGCTTAGCATGCATAAGGGTTTATTGTGAAGACAAAAGCCATCACTCCTAACGTCCCTCCTTCATTCTTTCCTCCAGCTTTTATTGCCAAGCATGAAGCCATACCATTTGGGGGTATTCCTTTGGTCAGTCTGGATCAGCTGTCCTGACTGTGTCCCATCCCAGCTCCCTGTGCACCCCCAGCCCATCGCTGGCATTGTGGATTACTTATAGCCTGTAGCCACTGATGCACTGCAATCTGCCCTTCTTATGATCTCACTGGGGATTAAGGTACCTTACAGAACGGTAGAATATCCATGCAGTGTTTTAAACTACGTTGTAGATACTGAATGTTTTTAACTGTAACCTATGTAGTATTAACTTCTCCCAGACCCCCCCCCCAAAAAAAAGTGAAAAGCAAGATTTTTTTTGAGTGGGTTCTCACATAAAAAGGTCTGGAAGTTTTGTTGGTGTAGTTGTTTGTTTTTAAACTAAGCATCAGTTACCTCCTAATGGAATTGCTTGTCAGGAAATCTTTAGTTTTACTCAATGTGTTCCTAAGGTTTAAAACAACAACAGACACAAAACAACTGAAAATGGAAAGAATGAAAGATAACATCTTGTCCCAGAAACAAAAAAGATTATCAACCAGCTGTCATGAATGGTTTACTAAACTATTTTGCCTCAACTAATTTTTCTGTATGGTGTTGCTTGAACGTGATTGAGATGAAAACAGTTCCATGGCATCCATCACTTCAGCACGTTAGTTTTGTACTAATGTTAATATCATTTTAAAAGTTTGTGGGATAGGAAAGTCATGTACTTGAATTTCTAGAGCTGGATTGCCTTCTTCTAAACTCTAGTACCTAATGTTAGTTGGTAAGGTAGTATAATTATTGTATGTTTTATAATTTCATACCGTCAGACAGTAAAAGATGTAAGAGCAAGCAGTAGTGGTGTTTTTAGAATGCATTTAGTAAAGGGAATAGGGAAAATAGTTTTTGTAATTAATAAGGTTATTTTTGAGGATTCTACAAAGCTGCAAGCTTACTGGTGTGTTAAAGAGGTAAAATCCGGTTATTTCAACAGAGGACAAAATCTAGGTATTTAACAAAGAAATAAAACAAAAAGGAAAAAAAAAAAGCAAAAAACAAAACCAAAAACCTAGAAAGTTCATATATATTTTTAACATAAACGTGAACCCAGGCAGCACAGGATGGCCTCCACCCAGTCTCCATGAATATTTGTGCTATGCTCAGTTACACAGTGAATTTGTGCTGAAGTAGAAGGCATGAGTTTTGTGCTGAATCAGGCTCCCATAACAGCCTTTTCTGAGTGAAGACAGTAACTGGCAGTCAGTATTAAAATATCTTTTCTTGATGTTTGCGATACATCTGACTAGTCACTGGCAAACTTTGATCCGTTACAGAGGATTTACTAATTATGTCATTTGAAATGTTTTTGTCTTCAAAAATATAGTAAGACTTTCAGATCAGAATAAGGCAAAGTGCAGAAAGTGAAAGCCATCAGCTCAAGTAAAACATATAGTAAATAGAGGTACAGATGCAAAACGGCGATGTGTGCATTTTTTTACAAGTTTACTTTGTTATTTCAGTTGACATTTTACTGAATGTCACTGAGAGTGAATAAACAAGCTAACGAGGTTTTAGCTAAATCTCTGCAAACAAGTTGTGAATTCCATAAATAAATAAATAAAGTTGCTCATCTCTTAATCCCAGACTTCTTATTTTGCAACTTTCAGAGCATCCCCTAGTTTGCAGTGATGCATTCATTCAACACGTGATCAGCATCAAAGGCATGAAATTCCGATTAACTGTTTTTTTTTTTTTTTGGCACCTCACCTCTTTCCAGTTTGAACTTGGAATCTCCTCTGTGCACGGACCACTAATGAGGAAATCCTTGCTTATGAATTCAATGCAGAATGAGGGTTTTTTTTCCTTTGCATAATGTCGGCTTTGAAGTCAGGCAGTCCAAGAAAGTGATTGATCTCACCCAAGTTCATAACTTTTTCAAAGTACTGCCGATATCATTAAATTTTAATTAACCCTTTGAGCTCCTTCTATGATGTAAAGATGAGGGAACATCAAAGGCTTGTATGTTAGAGCAGCAGTGAAATCTTTTGAGCTGGCTTAGACTTATTGAAGATATCTAAGCTGCAAAATATTCCAGTTCTGTAGTCAGCTCAATTCTTGTTACTAGCTCTGCTCTGTGTTGGAAGAGGCAAAGCTATTGTTACATCCTCAGTTAGGGCTATTTATATACCGAGCCCATCTTCCTGTAAATGCTCTTCTTCCTACTCAAAAAAAAGTAGTCCATCTTAAAGCAAATGAACAGAATGTAATACCTTATTCCTTCTCCTTCATTTGTGCTTGCTTTAGCTATTATTATCTTGGTTAGTTGTCTTACAAAAGTATCCTGTAGGATTTAATAGGGATTATACAAATAATCTTCCATATAAAATGAAATCTAGGGCTTGGTATTTTAAAATTCATCCTGTGCAATTCCCTTTCTTGACAGGGCAATTTCAGTCAAAAGTGAGCTTCATAGGCTTCTAACTTCATAGCCTTTTTTTTTTTTTTTTTTTTTTACAGCAGGTGGATGGGGACCCGCAGAAGGCTTTGAGAAGGGCTGTGTTTTCAGGGCAGAGCTCGGTTTTACCTCTATGCTGTGAAATTATTTATACTACTGTGAAGTGGATTTGAAAGTACTCTGAACCAACTGTACCTCATGGTAAAGAAATCCACAAAGTGCAGAACAGCAATAAGTCGTTTCTGTTTCTTGGGACAGAAGAGAAAACCTGGATAGAGGAGCATTCTGCTTTCTTGATACCAGAAAATGCTGTTTGGGATGCAGAGAGCACTGAGCAGGAGAGGAAAAAAGAGACAGAAATAGTCGGTAAATTCTTCCAATTAGGCAAAATTAAAAAAAAAAAAAAAAGTAAGGTCAAGAAATGGAGATCTTCTGTTGCATTCAGAAGCCTTTGCTTTCATTTCCCTCTTACTTTTTTGAAGGCGTTGGTGAAAAAATAGTTCTGTTCTTCCTTACCAGATCTGTCATTAGTAGCTCTGCTTGTGCTACAACAAACTTGTTAATAGGCAAAGAAAATAAAAGACGGGTCAAAACAAGCCACTTCTGAAGAAAAAAGAATGCATTACTTGAAGTCATGAATAAATGGGTATGTTTGTCTGTGAGTTGGAGGTTGCTCTGGCTGAACAATTTCCAGAGAGGATGATCTGCCTCTAGAATGAGGCAGGTTGCTTGAAATCATAATATATTAGCATTTGAAGTTTAAACTACTTGTCTCACTGCAGGTGTTGTTCATAGCATGTCTGGCTTATGTTGAATTTAGAGAGCAAATTCTAAATTTTGGAAGGGCTTCTCAGCTAAATCGACAGTTACAAGCATATCCCTGCCTTCTGGAAGGATTACATGTGCCTTTCTGTTCTTCTCTGACAGCAAACAATGACGTTAAGGCAACATTGCAGTGCTACTTTGGGTCCACCCCTTAAGGACAGAAGGGTTAATTTAACTTGATTTGAAATAGAACTGATTAAACCAATATATTAGCAGCAGGGATGAAAGTTTATCAAAGGATTGCCTGGCTGGAATGAAACTAAAAATTTCTCTACTACTTTCTGTGGTTCAAGGAGCTAGTCGATGCATGGATTACAAAAGTGACTTTTTCCACCTGTCAACCTTAAGTCTGTTTTAGGATTATAGAAATAACAGCACTGAATCAAATGTGTGATGCATGAATAGAAGTGAAGTTGTGACATCTGCCAAATATGGAGGGAAAACAGACATAGAAATGAAGTCTCCTTCATAAGAAATGATTTCCTGAGTAATCATAATGGCCTACACATGTGTGTGCATGTGTCTGTAAGTATAAGTGGATGAAAAAGCATCATCACGTATTTGGTGCAATTTTGAAATTCTACAGCAAAAACTATTTTTCAAAACATTCTTTAATGATAGATTTTTTTTTGATTGCATAAGCAGGTAAAATAATACTAAATCAAATTTTTAAAAGGGAGGGGTGGCTTAAAGTGGGAGGGGAATCAGATGGGGGAAAAAAAACAATGCTTTGAATAAAAGAAAATGAACGCAGAGACAGAGGCAGTTGGAGAGTTTCTGTTCTAGGCTTTGATGGGAAAACCTTCCTTGCTATAAAGAAGATGGACATAATTGAGTGCATATTTGTGAATGTGAGCATTTTTGTTAATCTGCACCATTATTTTCTGATGTTGACTTC